GTACGCTGGGGAAAGTAAAATAAGCATAATTATAAATAGCTAATAATTATAGCTAACGATAATTTTTCAGGGCAATCAGGGGAGGTTATTCTAGGAGACCATGTATTGCAGTTTAACACTCCAGCAATTGTGTTATTTTCACAGGACTAAGGAGTGGCTTCTTTGGTTTTGGAACCTCAATGCATGCAGAAGAGCCCCACACTCCAAGATAATACTCAGGAAATAAATAACATACTCTGTGAGCAAAACTTACTCATGGGGGAACAGTTCCTTCAGTTGATCCACGGCTGCATCCACTGCAGGCTTGCTGAACTCGCTGCATTTCTGGTTTGCTATGACCTCAATGAAAGTGATGTTGTTGGGAACAGGATTGCGGATGGCCCTGGTCTCTTGGACGTAGCTGTTGCCTGCCAGGACTCGCTCCGGGTTCCCCACCCACTGCTCGTACAGAACTATCTTCCACGATGCATCTTGGGTTTTGTCATAGACTCGCTGTGTAAACGATACAAAACTGTACTGAGCTAGCTAGACAATAGCTACATATCAGGACCCGGCGCACGCGAAAAATAATGCCTGGACCCACCCATTATTGTAGCTTTTACCGTCGCTACTTTCTGCAGTACAAGTTTGCAGAACAAGGGCGCTGACTCCGAGAAGAATATCTTGATGGCTATGACATTGTCGTTCTCTCCCATCGTCACGAGCCTGCATAAACCGCTGCTGCAGCCAAATTGCTAGCTATTTTCTCTAGCTAGACTGCTACACCCATTTATAGTTGTTACGCCGCTCAGGTTCGTCATTTAGCTACATCCTTGCAACTGTTTCCGGGCAGCCTGGAGTAGTAATACGCTAAAAGTCTGCACGCTCGCTGCAGTCTGTAGCGTGAGGTTTAGAGCATTAGACGGCATCCCGGGCCAGAAAAAGATGGCTACAGATGAGAGCAGGATCATAGTAAGCGGTGATGAAACTATAGAAAACGGTTAGCTAGCCAGAATAGTGCAGTCTACCGCACTTCATCACTGATTTTCTGGCTCCAGTTCTCACAGAGAAGTACTTTTTGGACCTGATGAAAGATGTCGCAGACGAGAACAAAGTCGAGAAGGTGGCTATCTGCCTCAGAGTCCCGCAGCCGATACTCTCCAACCTCAAACGAAGATTTCACGATACTCCACTGTTGGCAACAAAGGTTTGCTTATACAAATCGAGACCAGTAGTGATCTCACTGTCTTCGCTTATGTATGCATGATCTTACTATGTCTGTGTGTAAAATCTATCCTATGAGAGTGTGACAGTCGGTGCTGTAGCTAACAGTTCTGTGTGTGCTCTCCACCAGGTACTCATGGCGTGGAGGGACAACCTGACATGTGACACTGTGGCAGAGGCCGTGGAGGAGCTAGCTGACACGTTCACCGCCGTTGACCTGGCAAGAAAATCAACACAGGTTCAGAAACTGAATGGTGAGTATAACAAAATCATTAAACTCATGAAAGCTGTATAATAATGTATGCAAGGGGTTGTCCTGGGTGTAGTAAGTGTAGTTGTTTGCCTTTGTTTTTGCTTTGATCTCATTGATGTTGACGGATCATGCATGTATCTAATGCAGGGTCAGGGTCAGCTACTTTGCTGGCTCAAGTTCACTCTACTCCAGACTATTATTCAGAGTCAACAATGACAGATGGAGTAGTAAAGCATCAGTCACCAGATGGCAGCCCAATCGCATCTCCCAACACAATAGAACCTCCGCTTGCCCAGAGAATAAAAAGAAGTAAGTATTATAGCTAACTGTAGGACAAGAGCACCATGCATGTTAAGTGCATGAAAACACGAATGCATCAAGGTACACTTACATATTATTGGCATTGCAGAGTGCACAGCAGCTACGTGTGGTTGGACTATCTGCTACTCGACACTGGGACTGTTGGTGGTATCAGCGCTGGTGGCCGTTGCTACCGTGAAAAACACCCCAAAGACCAGGAACAGCATTTCACCTCCATCCGTTGGAGCCAACGACACTGTCGAGCTATCGTTCAGTCTCTCCACAGTCTGGCTGAAGACTCTCTCCCTCTCAATAGACCAAGACTGCACAGGGGTGGCCTACACTTACCGCGGAAAGTGCAGCGACCTGTACCCCACGGCCAGGGTCTGCTACAAACAATCACAGTACTCTGAAGCTGCACACAGAGTCAACTACCTTCTACCAGGGTCATACTTTAACTTCACCGTGGGGGCGGGCTATGACTGTCAGACCGATATCTGGATAACCTGGAACCCTGAGCTCCTGTACAAGACAAACTACTCTGGATACAGCTGTGAGAATCCTCCGCCACAGACAAAGTGCCTACATCCACCAGCAGAACGCTCAGAGCGTGTGGTCCCAGTAACAGAAGCAGGTTACTATTCCACCTACGTATCCCCGCCGCCTCAATCACCGTGCTTCCTGAACTATGAGCGCTACATCTGCAGCTATAATGTGACACGTTTGAAAGAGGTGGCGAGCGCGGTAACTCAGGAGCCTATCCGATCAGATCTGGTCAGTGTGGACCTCCTCTACCGGCCCTACAGTTTCACCCAGGTGTGCACCGTACTTCACGTCGAGAAGGACGGCACCCACTGCCGCAGTTACAACGGAGGTGCACTGAGTGTGGAGACTGAGAGGAGACAAGACGTGCTGTTGTTCCCTGGTCTATTGCTCTGTCTGGCAGTCGTGGTCCTGGTAGCAGTGGCACTCTCTCACATTACGACATGTGTAGTGAGAAGAAGACGACAAAGTGTTAGACCTCTATACCAGAGATTACACGACACACACGTATGATGCACATCATAAAAACTTCAATCTACCTGATTATGTACGTGTCTCTCTTTTTCTCTATCTTTGCACTTCTTTTTTTTTACCATGTGTCACTGCATATTGTCTATAGCTACCTCTAAAATGGTACGGGCATTAACAAACCCACGTACGTATTTGTGCATCACTTTCATAACTCTGCAAACAATTGCACGTCCGTAATAGTGGCGTGCGGTCCCACTGCGAATTGTATCACTGTGTACACATTAGTATATGACATGAGGAATATATACAAAAGTAATGTGTTGAGGCAATGCAAAAGACTGGATGGTAGCAAAGAGACAAGCAGAGAGAATTTCAGTTTACTGTGCTGCCAGCTAGCTACCAGCCAAACATGTATTCAAATGCTTTCGATATGAATCCCGTGCTTTTCTGGGGAGTGTTAGGATTAGCTGGGGCCACCTGCAGAGAGCAGAGCGTATGCATACTCATGACCAAACCTTGAATACCACAAGAATATTTACACAATTAAAGTTGTTTTCCACAGCCATTGTGACATTAATGTTTGTGAACATTTACACTGTGTTAACCTTTCCAACGTCAACATGGTACACAGGGCACAGCAAACACAGTCTCCAATGAAGGTGGTCTGATGATTACACGTGTCTGTAAGACTATATATCCTTTCCATGCACTAGCATATTTACAAACTGCTAAGGTTCAACTAGAGGAATGCAACTCATTGTTGGTGAGTGAGCGTGAGCAGTTCACTATTTAGTGTGTGTTTTGTGCGTATTTAGAATCGTACAGAACATTATGGTAGTGTCAGCTAACAGCGCCCGACTGATAGTTATATATATATAGAAAAATTCCCGCGTTGAACAACTAGGTAGGCTCGCTTCACTTGCCAATTATGCCATGTGAGACATTTACTGGCTGCTATTTTACTTCTCCGTTAGACACAAGTTGAACACCTTGTTCATTTTTTGGGACCTAGAGCATCATGTGTAGTGATGGTTCCATTTTCCTTGTGTTAGGACACAGACATTTCCTTTATGATACACAAACATTCCAAAAACGGCACATTTCCTGACTAAACTCAAAAGGAAGCCAATCTTTCATCTTCCATAATGCTCTAATGCTACTGGAGTAAAGACCCACATATCCTAATAGTAACGCTCTTACTTTATAAGGCATAGTATGACATAGCCTCATCCAAATGGAATGATGAGTAGCTTCAGAAGCCAAAGAGTCTCAACCTATATATCTAGCACGACGTTGTATTCTCTAGGACGGTGAACTGGTTAAACAGCCGCCTGAAAGTTCACTTGTATCCACCACTAGGTTTCACTTCCTCGCTTTAAATATAGATAACGAAACCTTCACAAATTTCACGGATATGATGAAATTGCGTAAGTAATTCAAATTCCTGTTTTTAAATTTTAGTGTGCCATGTATGGTGGCTGACCATGTTCATAAATATTTGCTGCAGAAGAGTTGCTTTTACACGATTGGCAAAGGTTTTTCTAAACTAAATGATACAACTTGCAATCCGACATGGGACAGAATACATATACCTACTCACCTCCCTATGACCTGATAGACAGCTCTCTGTACATATGTATATACCTGGTTAGGTCCACTGGAGGCCTGGTAGGCAGCAGTCAGAGGTCGGATGGTGGCAGGCCTGCCCAGGGGGCCAGACAATGCACCTCCTACTCCACCGAGGGCTCTGGCAGTAGCTCCATCTCCTGCTCCTGGGACATAGCCCTCCATCACCGCCTGGGAACAAACACACACACCCACAGTACAATTGTATTTTTGGCAGGGAGCAGACCATTAATTAGTTTTAAATAGAGCCGTTTTCATGGTGTTCATCCAATGGTGGGAAAAGGTTCGTGCTCAAGAAATGTCGTGTAGGGGACTTGCGGATACCACTCAAAACAGTGAACATAGCTCAACCTTTTGTAAATTTTGACATGCGCTTGCACTGACCGCTCCACTTCCAGTGGCAAAGTGAACGTGAGAATGGACTTTGGGATTAGTCTATAAAAGTCTCCTGGTCCAAAGTGTCACTCTAGGGTCTGCCACTGGGGTCAACTCTAGGATAGAGAGGGAGTGCAGGCACGCAGACTCACCTTGTCAATACAAGGCTGTACTCCAATCATGATTCCATTACCATATACCTTCCCATTCTTACTCAGAGCCTGCAGTAGCACAAAAAATGTACATGCAAGGAGAAAAGGGTCAGTGGATGTACAACCGACACTATGTATGTACTTCCTGTCACACACAATAGTATGGATATGGGAACTATAGAAAATTCCCATATTAACATAATTTTTTCTCTACTCCCTTTGAAAGTTGTGGCCTAGTATGGAGATTATAGTAGTCCCCATCCGGTGTGTACTGTACTATATACCTTTTTAGCCTGAAGTCTGGACTGAAACAGGAGGTGCATCCAGTTGCCATCTGCAGATACCTGCAGAGGTAGGGAAAACAGACACTGTTTGTCCAACTGTGCCATATTTACCAGTCCATGTTTGTTCAATATTTACCAGTCCATGCGTAAAAATATGGAACTTGAAAGCTACACAATAGTGTATCTAAGGGAAGCACTGATTATACAGTGTTGTTACAATTTTAACATACTGGCAGTTTTGCACAGATTATGATTTCGGTTACACATGATACTGACGTTTCTTCTTTGCAGAGGATACAATTTACCTAGATGCATACCCACAAATTGTTAATGTGTGTGGTAATAACACCTAGCCCTGTCCTTTACAAAGCATCCACATTTGCAATAGCAGTTGAGTGAGTGTACATTCTAAAACACCACTCCAGCTTCAGTTGAGTTTTCAGTGATTATTTTCTAAATTTACTAGCCCTTATTGAGAGTATCGTACCTCTATATTCCCGAAAAATATATGTTGAAAAAACTGTGGGCATCAACGTGAGACGGATAGGGGGAGACTCACAGAGTGTCTGAGGATAGTTCCGTACTGGGAGAACTGCTCCAGGACGTAGGAGGAGGCGGAGGGAGGGAACCCAAACACTGTCACCCAGCACTCTCCTGGACCATCTCCACTGTCCAGAGACTCCCTGGAGGGAGAGGGGAGGAGAGAGAGAGAGAGAGAGAGAGAGAGATTAGAGTTAACTCATTGCATGTGGATGACTTATGAATAACTCATCTTGAATAGTTGGGGGGAAATTAAAATGACAATGCCGGGAATCTAACTTGTGACCTTCGGTTTTTCAGCGCAATGCGCTGCCACTATGCTACAGCCAACAGTAGTGGGCTGAAGTGTAGTTCTTATACGCAAGAGTGTACTAGGCTATAACACACACAATTATATGTACTGTAGTTAGCACGGGATCGCAACCTGCTCGATGTCATGCCCTGCTCCACAGCTCTAGCCAAAAGGCTATGTTCATGAAAGTGAAAGTTTGTGGTTAACGCAATGGACCACAGTGAGTCTCACGACTGTACATAGCACTATATAGCACATGCAAAACATGACCCCTCGCCCCTTCTGGCGAGACCCTGGGAACAAGGGTGATCTTTTGAAGAAAAAAGGAAGTGTAGTAAATCTAGTGTAGTAGACACTACAGAGTAGTAGACTCAGTACTAGCTCGTCCTGTGGGACCACTACTCTACTCCACTGATACTCACCGTAAAACCACAGTACATGGCTACTGTAGCACGTACTGATGAGTGAACATTGCATAGTTGTCAAAGTGTGCATGACACTTTGACATCAAAGTACAGGTCCTGGGTGTTTACGTTACAAGGCACATGTGTGCAGCGTCAGTGTGCTATTACCACCAGCACAACGGTCTCTCCTGGAATAGACAAACGAGACATGTACAAACCAAACGTAACACTAGAACGATTACCCAAACAGACCAGCTAATCCTCGGGACTTAAAACATCAAGGTTGCTAAAAATGCCCTAGAGCTCAAAATGAGTCACTATAGCTAAGCGAGCCTACCTCATCATCTGGTTTACGGCAAACCTAGCCCTCAAGTATAATAGTACACACTTAGAGTCGGATCAGCTAACCCCTGGGAGTAGAAAGGGTCCAGTTGAGGTGGGGAGGGAGGGCTGATCTGGGTCACTCCATCTTCCCGCACTCCAGTCACACCCACTATACCTGCAGTGGTCATACAGGTAGTACAATAGGGAACAAATTAATATCCATTCTGCGTCCCGAAATCTTACTCAAGAGAACATCTGTGCAATACATATATCCTACGGCAATACTACCTTCGGAGTGCAAGTGTCACCTGAAAATCCAACTAGTAATAGCTCAAGTCCTTCATCTACACAAAATAGGCCTGTTCTTACTATCTTTAAAGTGTCGGTGTTTTTCCAATTTTCATTGTTGCATACACCTAGGCACTTAAAATAAAAGCAGCTAAACCACAGAATGAATGGTAGGAATATGTGTATGTACAATGGAGCATTACGTAAATTGCGTATAATTACCAGGGGTGGGGAGTATGAGGGCATTGGTAGAAGGTGTTGCTGTATGACCAGTCCTGCTGGCTGTCTGGAGCAGACTAAAGTTCAGACTGCCTCCTCTCTGGAGACCCTGTGCAACACAGCAAACATCTGTCACCACACATGTATATACTAGTCAGTTGGCAAATACGTATACAAATCCGGGATTCATAAATAGGTTGTTCCAAACTTCGAAATGAAGATTTCGTGCATGTTTACACAACCCCTGTTTTGAACAAATCATTCCAGTGATTTATGAGGTGTGAAAATCCCCTCTTTTGGTATATATTAGATCAGGGCTACAGTGGAATCTTACACTTTTGGGCACATCAATATGGCATACACTTGACGAAAAAAGAAGAGGTATACTTATACGTTTATTAGATTAGCCCTCCCATTGCTGAGATGTAGAGATCAAGTTGCCGTAAACATTGACTGGGCTGCATGATTGGCTTGCCTGCGGTGGCAATGTCTAATTGTGGCACATTCGTCCATGCCCTCTACCGGTGAGAATACCTGATGGTTAACTGCTGTGAAATGCCTGTCCGTCCCAGCACTCTTTTGCATTGGTAAGTGTGGTTAGAAACATGTAGCCTACCCACATAGAGAGGGGTGGCCTGCCAACATACAGGGTGGCCTACCATCATAGAGAGGGGTGCAGTGTGGCTTATCATCATAGAAGGGGTGGTGGCCTACCACATAGAGAGGGGTGCAGGGTGGCCTACCACATAGAGAGGGGTGCAGGGTGGCCTACCACATAGAGAGGGGTGGTGGCCTACCACATAGAGAGGGGTGCAGGGTGCCCTACCAACATAGAGAGGGGTGCAGGGTGGCCTACCATCATAGAGAGGGGTGCAGGGTGGCCTACCACATAGAGAGGGGTGGTGGCCTACCACATAGAGAGGGGTGCAGGGTGCCCTACCAACATAGAGAGGGGTGCAGGGTGGCCTACCATCATAGAGAGGGGTGCAGTGTGGCTTATCATCATAGAGAGGGGTGGTGGCCTACCACATAGAGAGGGGTGCAGGGTGGCCTACCACATAGAGAGGGGTGCAGGGTGCCCTACCAACATAGAGAGGGGTGCAGGGTGGCCTACCATCATAGAGAGGGGTGCAGTGTGGCTTATCATCATAGAGAGGGGTGGTGGCCTACCACATAGAGAGGGGTGCAGGGTGGCCTACCACATTGAGAGGGGTGGTGGCCTACCACATAGAGAGGGGTGCAGGGTGCCCTACCAACATAGAGAGGGGTGCAGGGTGCCCTACCAACATAGAGAGGGGTGCAGGGTGGCCTACCATCATAGAGAGGGGTGCAGGGTGGCCTACCACATAGAGAGGGGTGCAGGGTGGCCTACCACATAGAGAGGGGTGGTGGCCTACACATAGAGAGGGGTGCAGGGTGGCCTACCATCATAGAGAGGGGTGCAGTGTGGTATACCATCATAGAGAGGGGTGCTACCAACATAGAGAAAGGTGCTACCAACGTAGAGTAGGGTGCAGGCTGGCCTACCAATGTATAGAGGGGTGCTGGTCCTAGCTGGAGACTTTGGCTGGTCATAAAGTCCCTGGACAGGGGGTCCGCCTACTTGAGTTGGCTTATTGGCAGTCCCTTCGCTGTAGATCTTCCTGCCTCCACTGCCTACCATCACTGCACCCCTGCAGTCATGAGAGATGGGGAAATGGACTGACTACAATAAGATTGTGATGTGGATGCATACTCCTCATGAATCATAATATTTCGCAGGTGAAACTTTCACCCTGTTGGGCACACACCTTATGGACAAGATTCTTGCCCAAGTTTAAAATCTGTGGACACTTTCTTCCACTAATTCTGACATTTATTGGCGAGCGGGAGCGAGCTAACCTGTAGTGGTCCAAACAGTGCTACTGCGTATGCGTCAGGATTACGCCCTTCTTTTTATCCGAAATCGTGTTTACATTTCGATGCGAATCTAGCCAGCGAGAGAACTATCGTCCATTCAGCGGCATTCGCTGCACTCTTCACTGCACTGACCAAGGCTCTACCTCTTTCCAATCTTCATGGTTCCAAGGTGCAAGTTGTAAATCAGCTAGGATGGCTCGTGCAGATACATTCATTGTGTGCTCGCTCCCGCTCGCCAAAAATGCCATGCATTCGCCAACTAGTAGTTGATACACACAATGCGGACTCAGCAAACTAGTTGCGTATGCTGTTGCTGAGGTCGCCCGTGAGAAACAGAGAATGACGCGACTAAATTGGAAAGGTTGGTGAGGGCACACCTGTCGGTCTGGAGGGAGGTAGAGGCTCGCAGTCCCTGGAGTCTTGGAGTGGTTCCAGCTACTGCATGTCTGGAGCGAGCCGGCTGGACAATCCACAACACACATGATGTGGTTAGAAAGTCGCACACACACATACATACATACACATGGGAGAACATAAATGGCACTCTTACTACTTCCTTCTCTTTTCATTGCCCTTTCATTGTAAGGCCTTGCTTATGAGACTAGCCCTGTTATCAAGGATACTATTACTTGCACCTACATAGATTCGAAAAAAGAAGAGGTAGAGTAGAGGCAGGAGGACTTCTATGTCTACTGTTCACGGATATGGAGCTTTGCACCAGAGTTTGTAGCTACATAGCAGAGCATGTCAGCAGTGCGTATCTAAACTTGTGTGAGAACTAAAACTGTATTGAACACTGCCACTAGAGCTCCAGAGCCAACACGGACACACTAGCATTTGTGAAAAGGTAGAGGACTTAGTGATAATTACACTCACTGATTTAGGGGTGGGGGAGCCAAGTAGGAAGGCCGGTAGATAGCCACTGGTGTCCATTTGGCCTGGAGGTGAGCTACCATGCTGTTGCTGAGGTCGCCCGTGGGATAGGCTGGACGGAGTGCCGTATGCTGTGAGCAGAGACAAAGAGAAACATGACATAGGGAGATTTCATAGAGGATGCGGTAGGGATGCTTGGTTAGAGTAGGGACCTTGCTGGAAGAGAGACATCTTTGGCTCCAGAGAGGCAGAGACAGGGCTAGAAACGTTTCTCCGTGAGGTGCTCTATTTAGAAATGGACATTGCGGCGCACAAGGGGAATTTCCCTCTTACTGAGGAGGGGCGTGTCTGCCCTTACCGCAGATTCTGCAAGGAAACAAGATGCTCACAAGCCAGCCTTAGCTCCATCCCTCGACTCCATCGTTTCACGATGGCCGACCCGCAGACGAGGAACTACCTGCTGCTCCTGGTGGGCTGGATATCGCTCTACCTCAGCCAGCGGACGGTACCCTCCACCACCTCCCACCTCCAGACAGGCGCCTCTTTCTCGGTGGAGGACGTCGGCTCTCTCCTCTCCTGCTTTGCCGTCACCTACGCCCTCACCAAGCTAGCTAGTGGGTTCCTCTACGACCGTCTGGGCCTGAGTCCCAAGCTGCTCTTCTGCTGGGGTCTTGGGACAGGAGGATTTCTATGTCTGCTGTTCCCTGCAACTGCTAAGACTAGTATCTCTCTCGCGTGTCTTTTATGGCTAGTGGTAGGGGTCTTCCAGGGGTTAGGCTGGCCGGCTTGTGCCCAGATGACCAAGCAATGGTACAAGTCCTCACAACTGGGCAAGAGATACTTGATACTGTCTGCTTCGTCTAATGTTGCTGCTGCTATCATTCCTATCCTCTCTGCATACATGGCCACTGCTGTGGGCTGGGAATCCATCTATTACCTCCTGGGGACCATTTGCATACTATTTACTCCTTTCCTTGTCATGGGTATAAAATACCATCCTCAAAAAGGGGATGAAAAGAAAGATGAAAGCTTTAATAGCCACGAAGAAGTAAAGGAGAGGACAGAAAAATACCCTTGGTATAGAGTGTTCTTGTTCAAGGAGTTTTGGCTGGTGACGGTACTCAATGCCACGGCCTGGACAGTGAAGGCCAGTGTCATAGATTGGATGCAGCTATATCTCATACAGCACATGGACCACTCTCAAACCATTGGTATGCATGCACCTTTACAACCAAGGAAAACCTATACTGTATTTTCCACACTGGCTTGTATTGCTCTTTTATGTTGCAATTCGATAGCTGCCCAATGCACGGCTGTGAGTGAAGTTGGTGGTCTTTTGGGGAAGCTCTTGTTTGCTGTCTCATCAGATTATCTTATTAGCAAGAAATTGGTAAGAGCAGCACATCTAATCACATGGAAGTGTTTTCAAGGTGTCTGTCAGTTTAGCTGATTCGCAGGGGTCTCTGTCCCAGAGCACCGGTCCTGCTAGTGTTGGCTCTTCTTCTTTTCCTCTCCACTCATCTCTATTCCTACCACGTCTCTCAAGACTCAACAACAGTGAGGGAAATAGTGTAGAGACTTTTGCTGCATGTCTACCACATTCTCTGCAATAATTAACCAAAAAATGTCATGTACAGTTGGTTGGCAAACACGGCACACTATACCCAAATTATTTGCGAAAGCATTCTTTCATGGTTGTGTAATGTCTAATGTCCTTGGCTCTGTGTGTTGGAGCAGCTGTGGTTGATGGTGGTGTTGTTTGGATTTGGATTCTCAGCCGGAGGGATGGTGGGTATGTGCAGTCTCTCTCTGATGGAGAGTGTGCCTCCTCCTCTGTCAGCCACTTCTCTTGGCATCGGAGACTGCCTCACTCATCTAGGTCAGTATATTATTAATGCTCTCTTGTTTTTGCAGGCTAGATATTCCCTATCAATTAACTTTAGTGCAACACAAAACGGGCCCTCTTATCACAAATTGAACTGATTAAAGGGCAATGCATTAGTGCATTCAATGAACACATTCTTTTTTACGAAGTGCATTGTCTGAGGCTATTTACAAAAATATGTGCTGTTGTGTTTTTGGTGTTGGTGATTGAATATGATACAGACTTTTGTAAATCAGCATCGTGTTATGCAGCCAATGCGTGATTGGGTTTGTAGCTATCTGCCATTGGTCACTCTGTTCTCTTTGTGCACAGTGGGTCGCTCTCTGTTGGGCTACACAGTGTTCAGCTATGTGGTCAACCACTCAGACTGGGGCTGGAGCTCAGCATACAGACTGACTGGGACTCTGGCCCTCACCTCTACTGCCACTGCACTGCTGCTGGTGCTCTCTCCTCATTCCACAGCACACTCCCAATCCCCTCACAAGAATAAACACCACTGACAAAATATCTTGTGCAAATTTTACATGTGTCTGGAACATGTCTTATTTTTGTACAACCAATTGAGTTTATCATGTGTGCCTGGAAGACACTTTTTGCCAAGGGTAATAATTTATCAAGTTTACTGAGTTACTGTCTAGGAGTGAATTCGAGGAAGAAGGCAGGCAAACAGGAGGAGTGGTGTGCATAGTCTATAAATAAGGTTTCGAAAATTTAGTCACTTCTGAGGGTGTGTAGTTTCGCTGGCTCTCTCTTGCCCAGGTGTATGAGCTAGGTCGCGCGCACTAAAGACTCGTAAACGCGCATGCGCGCGCGCACATGGACAATGTCGACGGGGAAGATGGACCGTTTCCTCCGCTGGAGGTGGTCGCTGTACATCTCCCTGTTCCTCGGCTGGTGCTGCTACTACCTCTGTCGGAAGTCGTTCCCCTCCTCCACGCCCAACCTGATAGCCGAGGCCGGACTCACCAAGGACGACCTCGGCGTCATCAGCAGCAGCTTCGCCGTCTCCTACGGCTTCAGCAAGTTCTTCAACGCCCTTCTCTCCGATCACGTGAGCCCCAGGAAGATGTTCTCCGTGGGGCTGGTCCTCAGCGGGATCGGCTGCCTGCTCTTCCCGGGATCCGTCTCCAGCATTCCAATTAGCGCCGCCCTCTGGTTCGCCGAGGGAATGATCCAGGGTCTAGGCTGGGCGCCGTGTGCCAAGCTCCTGAAGGTATGGTACCCGCCTTCACAGATGGGGATGTGGTGGAGTATCCTGTCCAGTGCTGGGAATGTGGCTGCTGGTACCTCCCCTCTCCTATTCACTTACCTCTCTTCCGTCTTCAGTTGGAGGGTGGGTTTCTACATCATTGGTACAATCACGGTGACCCTGGGACTGGTAGTAGTACTTACCATCAAAGACTCTCCCTCAGAACTGGGAGTCGAACTAACGTTTGAGAATTCAGAGTCTGAGGACTCTAACAAACACAAACATGAGACTTCACCAATGTTGAGGTGGTACAGTGTGATGTTGTACAAGGATCTGTGGGTAGTGAGTGTGGGTTATGCAGTGCTGTCTGCAGTAAAGACGTCAGTTGCAGACTGGAGTCTGCTCTACTTCATGCAGGTGGCCGGGAAGCCTCAGGCTGTTGCCGCTGCGTGTATTGGGACCATGCAATTTGGGGCCATTGTCGGCCTCCTCTGCACTGGCTATGTTTCTGATCGTGTCATGACCCAGGTACTGTAGCCCTATATGTTATGTAGCATGAGAAGCATTGAGAGACAGAAGGTTTTCCATGGCCTCTTGCCGATAGCCTTTATGTGTGCCACTCTGTATGAAGTTTATCTGTTATACTCATAACTCGTGTGTATCGTCATGACCCAGGTACTGTAGCCCTATATGTATATGTAGCATGAGTAACCTCGAGAGACAGAATTGTGAATATTAAGGTTTTCCGTGGCCTCCTGTCAATAGCCTCTGTGTGCCACTCTGTATGAAGTTTATCTATATACTCGTGTGTGTATCCTTTGGCATACAATGTCTCTCTTTTTCTGTGCTCTGCTCTCCTCCAGAGGACCATGGCTACCAAGTGTCCGCGGGCCCCAGTGTTACTGGCCATCTCTCTGCTCATGACCTTGTGTCTGGGTCTATTTGCCACCACTGTCGACCAACACTCATCAGAGGTACATACATACATATGCCTCTCCAACTAGCATACGACATCCACATCTTACCATACAGGCAGAAATTTTTATCAATTCGGTTCTAATCAGGTTAAGTGGCAGAATTTTGCAGCTACGTGCAAATAGATGCTATCATCAGGGGCTATACGGTGTGAAGCAATGCAGCGATGCAGCACACACTTAAGACTCTGAATTCTTCACCGAGTGCACCGCCTTAGTTTTGAGGATATTACGCCAACACTGTTACAGTATCATTTCTCCTAAACCCTCTGTGTTAGTTGTGGCTGAGTGTCCTGATGTTCAGTCTGGGTTTCCTGACAGATGGAGGGGTCTCAATGATAGGACTCATCTCCATGGAGGTGGTCCCCACTCAGATCTCTGGCAGTGCCCACGGACTAGCCTGCGCCCTCGCTCAAGGTCTATGTCCCTCGTGGAATAGCTGTATATACCTCTCCATTTGGGCCTTCCATTTAGGTGACAACCCACTCTATAAGTAGGAACTGTTGTTAACCCTCGGCGCGCATGCGCAGCGAGTAGTTGGTCTGTGTGTCCACGACTAGTCTGAAAAGTAAAATGGCGTTTTCCTGAAACGACTGCATTCGAGAGATATGCCGTGAAAACAAGCGAAAAGCCAATATGCATAATCGCACTGGGCTTACCGCGACCTGATCCGCCCGCTCGGTGTACCTTGGTGGCTCAGGATATCACAACGAATGTATCGACTCCCGCATGCTATCTACTAGCCAGTGTCAGACTCTCCGTGAGGTATATACTAGCGGGAGACCAAGTACAAATAGCCAAACCCATCAATTAGCAGCATCGCGCATGCACAGTTCGCCGAGGGTTTGCACTTTAATACTTTTCGTTAGTAGTTTGTTGGTGGGCAGGAGTAAAATTTAGTTCAAATTTTTGTTGGCTGCAAGCAATTTGGACAGGCCTCCCTTTGAATCCTTATTTCGTATCTGCTGTTTGTATATACAACCTGGCAGCTATGTTCAACCTTTAAATGTTGTTGTTGTTGTTGTTATGCAGTGGGAGGATTCTCGGCAGGCTGGCCATTTGCCCACGTAGTGGAGATCTTCAGTTGGAACACTGCTCTCCACTCACTCACTGTCATATCTGGAGGACTGGTGGGAGTGGCCATCTACCTCCTCTTACTAATGCTATCAGGACTAACGCCTGCCAAGACTGACTAGTGGACTCTTGGAGACGATCAGCCTTTTATGCTCACTTTTTGTACAGACCTAGGGAGCCTTTTTCAGTTTGTGATCACTTACACTTACATTACTATATAATACATGAGAAGTATGTATCAGAACCCTCATCTCTGAGTCTCTGACCCAGTTTTAAACCTTCATGGCGAGCATCATGCAGCGCAACAAGGATCAATTACCTGTCCATCCGTCTGTATCTTTTACAACTTCTGCCACCACTCACAACACGCTGCTAAATAAAAATTGTGGCACGACCAGCCTTGTGCGTGGCAACGCTCATCTCTCTCAGTGACTCTGGCCGAGTCTCAAATCTGATTATTTTCCACATGCATACACTTTATATGAACGACAAGGTAAGATTACGTATATAAATGAGTAATAAGTAAACAGTCAACATAGTGTACGGGTGCTACAAAATAATATATATACCAACGGGGTTCAGCAAGGTTAACAATATACACAAATAGTTAAAGTAGTATGTAGATATTTCTTTGCTATGTGTCAGGTTGGATTCCGCAATTCTTCTGTATAGATCCCTGCAGCAAAGACAAACCTAATGGTATTACACCTAATTAATAGTTTAGGTTCACCTTTTATTTCCTGTACAACTGCTTCTAGTGCTGGCTCTGTCTTTAGAGCTTGTAAAACTGTATCGAAAACATTAGGATCGGCAGAAATGCGTCGCTCAAGTGCCTTTAAAAGCTCTTTAAGTTTCTCGCTGTCTGTAGCTGTTCTATGTATGGCCTTTTCGTGCTCTTCGCGTGTAAGCAGTAGGTTGCTATAGAGAACTGTTGCAAAATAGTCAGGGTCCACACTGTCTTTGAAAAGTTTGTAGCTTCTTCTGAGAGCTCTGAGTGCAACAAACGGTGAGTTTTTGCTGGATGTGGTGTTTCGAGGGACCGTCAAAGTTGACTCAGGCATCATTGCTGACAAGGAAACTGGTTCTGCATTATTGCAAGAGAGAATATTTCTCAAAAATGGGCTGTAGCAGTACAAACACACAAACACAGCTACTGTAGCGGAAATTCACTACCGTCTAAGTGTTTGGGCACTGTTACTTCATGTATAATGCATAGACAAGGTACCAATAGATATCCTCCCCATGCTTGTGCTTGCACTCTCTTCCCCAGAAGCTTCTGTCTCAACTGCCTCTTTCTTGTGACTTGACAGGGCTGAGAGAAGGGACAATTGTACTGTGTGTTTAGAAAGAGCAATTTAGAGGTACATAGCTACCATCTGTCCTAGGTTCCTTGGTGATTGTGATGAAACTGTTTTCTGGCGTGACTCCTACAAATCCTACTCTCTGCTCAAGAGCCATTGGTGTAAGGGAAGGAATCATTTTCAGCTGAATTTGAAAGGCTGGGACTGCTAGTCCTCCACCATAGTCATCCAGTGCCTCTTTTGTGAGCTGAGCCAACAAAAAACAGTGCAGTTTCTCATCACAGTTTTACTCCTGGTCCTCTAGCTCTCCCCAGTTTCACCCTAGCATGTTATGCTTGGCTGTTTCACTCCTGGCAGTTTGGTTTAAAGTTATTGCTCCTGGCAGTTTTGCGAATACCTTTGACATGGAATCATTTTGGTGGTATATAAATCTATTAGCCACCAAACTGCACTGTAAACTGCACAGAACAGCTACTGCACCCCCATAAGTGTAGAACCAAGACAAAAAACTGCTAAAAAAATCTGCAAACTTTGAGGAGAAGCTAACTGCCAAACAGCCAGGAGCGAAAATTCACCATTGGTTTGCAGTGTCAACAAACAACACTCGTTATACAGAAGATTCCCTTACGCAAGGTGAGGAAAGAGGACACAGACTCCAAGAATCTTTGGTCCAGGTTGCATCTGAAGTGTCCAGTTTAATTTGTTTCTCGCCAGGCACAAACTTGACCATTGGTACTAGTGGACCTATTTCAGCTCCTTGTTCCTGGCAGTACAACTGTCTCACCCTCTGCAGGAGCGTAATAAAATATTATTAAGCAGAATAGGGCATCAAGACATGAATTACCTCCATCACCAGCTCTTTCTTCTGTGTGACAGTTATATGGGCTTCATATCTATTGAGTTGCTTGGATATGTAGTAAGTGTGAATGGCATATTTACGTGGCCTTCTTCGCAAGCCAAGCACTGTAAACAAAGTGAAGTGGCTAACATCGATGGTAGCCTCACCAGTCTCAGAGAAAGAGCCTCCTGGCAGCGGTTGGAAGATGTGAGGCGGTGTTTCTTTGGCTGTGAAGAAGGAGAGTGCTCTGTCACCATCTTCCGCCTCAACACGGGCGCAGTGTTGGAGCCTGATGGTGACCTTCTTGTTAAAGTGTTCCACAGGAGGATGAAGGGAGAGACAGTAATGCCACTGACTGCCACATGATCAGCTGGGAACTGATAGTCTCCGCCGAGGCTGGCCTGGATGTACATAGTCGCTGGACCACTGCTACTGAGGGCACCAGCTGGAATGTTGATTTTGAATCCATGTCCCTCCCAGTCGTAAGTTAGTGGCTCTTCTGGAAGGACTTGTATCTTTGTCTGTGCAGTTATTTCAGCCCTTCTAATGACAGGGAATCCTAAGAAAATAAAATAGCAGGTAAGGTATGTACATCAATGAGGACAATATTGGCAGAATACCAAAAATTATAACCTAAAATTTTACTAAGGCCAATGTCTATATGAAAAAGTTACGCATAATGTTTGCTGTCTAAATAGGTATGACAGGGTTTAATTAAACATAACATTACTCATACCAGGCTCAGCCTTGATTTTATACATAATCACCTACCTCCTCTCAGTGAAAACAGTTGAAGAGTTTGGTATCCAATATTATAGTCACTCAGGGTCCGTTCATCTTGTAATTGCCTATCGTTGAATAGGAGTTGCTGTTGTGATGGTGGTATTCCTCCTAAGTCTTGAATTTCAACCTTCAATTCACCAATAGTAGAATCCATTTTCACTGATGGAAAGATGCAATCTGTTGGAGTTATAACTCTTACACTCCCTCCATCTCCTCCCCCTCTCAACCGTAAAACCACATGAATAACAGAATTCATCGGAATACATTGTTTTACGGTCCATTCATTATCCATTTGCTTACCATGAAATATAAATCGCATTTGGTCTGGTGGTACTCCAATTATGTCTTCATTTTTAGCCTTCACACTCCATATAGTATCACTAGGCTGAACTTCTAGAACATAGGGCTTACCTGTTAATGTCTTTGCCACTAAATTATAGGCACTTTTTCTGGCCCTATATATAAGTATCAGAAGGATGGACTCCTTTTGAATGTTATAGTCACTCAGAGTTCGACTATCTTCAAGTACCCAATGTTTGAACAATAGCAGTTGTTGGTCTGGTGGAATTTTGTCAAAGAGTTGAATTTGAGCTTTCACGCTCTCTATTGTATCACTGGCGTCCACTTCCAGTAGGATCATTTCACCTGTTTCAGTCTTTAAGAATATCCCCATGTCTTTCTCTACCAGCCAGACTAGCTGTAGGGTGTCCTCGTGCTGAATATGATAGTCACTTAGTGTCTGTCTATTCTCCAGCTGCTGGCCATTAAATAAAAGTTGTTGATGGTCTTGGGGCATTTTGATTTTGTTCCAAATTCTAGCTTTCACCATCTCGATAGTATCACCAGCTTCCACTTCTAGCGTTAGAGCTAGACCTTTCATCTTTATAAATATGCCCATGCCTCTCCTTACCGGCCAGATCAATTGAAGAGTATCCTCATTTAAAACACTATAGTCACTGAGAGTCTTTCTATCATCCAAGTGCCGACCATTGAACAGAAGTTGTTGCTGTGTTTTTGGCAGTCCCGTCTCTTTTTCGATATCAGACTTTATTTCACCGATGGACATATATCGGGCAGAATACACTCCCAAAGTGAGAATGGTCTTGCCTCTCTGAGTCTTCACAAATATCTGGAACATTCCTCCCAAGAGCCCCAGAGAGAGGTCAACAGTACTCCCACTATGAAGACCACAATCCCTCAGCCTCTTCTCATCTCTCAGCACCCTCCCACCTGAAAACACCTTCACCTGGTCTGGTGGGATCCCTTCTTTCTCATAGACGACTGACTTCATGTGCTTCACTGTGTCCCCACCCCTCACTCCAAGTGCTAGGGTCTTCCCTGACAGAGTTCTGAGGAACACCTGGTACTGTGGCTGGCTCCTGAGGACCAACCTGCACTTGCTGGAGATGAGCGTGTGGTAGTACCCCATTCTCCTCCTATTCTCCAGACAAACTCCATCTAGACTAAGTCGTTGTAGGTGACGTGGGGTACCTTCTATTGCCTCAATCATCTTCTTTACTCTCCTGACAGTAGCAGAGGACTCTACCTTCAACTTGATGTGCTGGTGACTCTTACCTTTTCGGACTTTCAGGTTATAGAAGTAGAGTCGTCGAATGACGTATATCTCGGCCCCACTTTTGATTTCGTAGTTGTCTAAGGAACTGTTGTCATCGATGGGCTTACCAGCAAAGATCAGTCGTTGGCGTTCTGGTGAAATCTTTGACACTTTCGCAATTTTACTTTTTACTTCGCGAACTGATTCGCTAGTGGCTACCTCAATAGGGAAGGCTTGGCCTGTCAGTGTCTTGACAGTGATAGGGACCACCACAAGAAGCCCCAGCTCTGACCCATCCTGGATGCCACGCTCCCTCAAAGACACCTGGTTCTCTAGTGGCTGGCCTTGGAAAGAAAGCTGCTGATGTTCTAGTGGAATGCCCAGTGTAACCTCCAGCACCGCCTTAACATCCTCTACCCTTTCTTCTTTCCCTGCCGTGACTGAGACCACCTCACCTGAAGGTTGCCTCACACGTAGCCGTATCTCCTCCGTTGAACCGAGACGGAGGTACAAGTGTAGGGTACTGCCTTGTACTACGTGGTAGTCTTGAAGCAACTGCTCGTTTCTCATTTCCGTCCCATTGTAGGCCAGGCTTTGGCGGTACACGGGGAGGCCGCTTTGGGCCGCTATTTTACACTTGGTCCTCTCAACCGTGTCGGAGTCGTCTACTGCGAGAGTAATGGTTTTACCTGACGGGGTCCGCACGAAAATCTGCATGATCGCTCTTCGTAGCATGCACCTGCATAGTGTATATTGTTAGATAGACTCTAGTTTGCTTTATGCATCGGTTCTTACTCGAAATTTCACTCAATCTCCCTCTTCCATGAACAATCAGCCATCCAGGAAGAAAAATAGAACGAGCCGGCCCCGCCCCCCAAATAAGGGGTGGGGCTCGTCGCCCAACGCGCCAGCGCGCGCATGCGCATTATCGTGCATAGCCTGCTGGAGCAAGAAAAGCTACAGAAGCCAAGAGGATTAGTCTAGGTTCTAGTCTTGCATGCCCACTAATTAACTTGAATAAACTGACACTTAATCAAACACCCTCCAGTAATTCTCTACTTATTAAAGTGTCACACATTATTAACCTTAATTTCCGCATCATGTTGTATAGTGTATTTTACACTTGGTCCTCTCAACCGTGTCGGAGTCGTCTACTGCGAGAGTAATGGTTTTACCTGACGGGGTCCGCACGAAAATCTGCATGATCGCTCTTCGTAGCATGCACCTGCATAGTGTATATTGTTAGATAGAATCTAGTTTGCTTTATGCATCGGTTCTTACTCGAAATTTCACTCAATCTCCCTCTTCCATGAACAATCAGCCATCCAGGAAGAAAAATAGAAGTCAGGGTGCAAGGGAGGGAGGAGGGGAGGGATGACGGCGGGTCAGAAACAGTGGAAGAGAGGATCGAAGAAAGTGAGGAAGCAGAATGCGGACCTTCATCAAGCTCATTACGCACCAGCGAGGAAGCACCAGCAGCCACCGAGCGACGAAGGCTCTCTGAAATCACTGCAATGGGCTACACAAGGCCTACTGCAACTACAACCATTGTGCTCCCCTTCGACGAAGCATTCCTCTGGGGCTGAAGAGCGTTTCAAAGGAGAACATTGCGAACTATGTGCGTCGTTGCAGGAACTACATGTTTGCATACCTGGAGGGATCGGCAGTTGGAGGAGATCAAATTCTACAAATCACACAGGAAGGTTGGTATCAATGACTGAGCGCAGACAGTGATGATGAAATATTGGAAAATTTCACAGAAGAACGTTGCGAACAATGTGTCGATGCAGGAACTACATATTCACATAAAATCTGGAGGGATTGGCAGTCGCCACTGGGACAGAAACTTGACGAGAAAAATTATGTGGGAAGGGGCATGCGGACCTTCATCAAGCTCATTACGCACCAGCGAGGAAGCACCAGCAGCCACCGAGCGACGAAGGCTCTCTGAAATCACTGCAATGGGCTACACAAGGGCCTACTGCGACTACACCATTGGCTCACTTTGACGAAGCATTCCTCTGGGGCTAAAGAGGAACATTGCGAACTATGTGCGTCGTTGCAGGAACTACATACATGTTTGCATACCTGGAAGGATCGGCAGTTGGAGGAGATCAAATTCTACAAATCACACAGGAGGGTTGGTATCAATGACTGAGCGCAGACAGTGATGATGAAATATTGGAAAATTTCACAGAAGAACGTTGCGAACAATGTGTCGATGCAGGAACTACATATTCACATAAAATCTGGAGGGATTGGCAGTCGCCACTGGGACAGAAACTTGACGAGAAAAATATTATGTGGGAAGGGGCATCATAATTATAATGTATATATGACCGTTTTTGTTCGAAGTGAGCCATACACAGGTGTTGCCACAGTGAGGTGAAAGGAGTGGAGGGGGTGTAAACTGCATACCAGCCATAGATATGTATACATACCCACTATATACGTGTACATTGTGGAGCTTTATGAGCAGGCAGAGTCTGCCCACTGTATACACACAGGTTGTTGTGCAGTGGGTGCAAGGAGTTAAGTGGAACAGGGAAGGGAGTTGGAATAACGTTAAACCACAGTAAGTTCTGTTCAAAAAATGTCATCATACCATGCATAATTAACCCTCGCCTGCGCGCATGCGCAGCGAGGGTTATTGCAGTCGGTCTGTCTGTGTGTGTGTGTGTGTGTGTGTGTGTGTGTGCGCGTGTGTGCGTGTGTCCGTCCGTCCGTCCGTCCGTACTGTCCTCGTTTTCTCGGTAACGCGGCATGCGTGGCAACTCTAGAGCTATGAAAGGGGAAGAAAATACAGTAGGAGAATGAGGTAGCAGAGACGGGGTAGAGCAAGTGAGTAAATAAGATAGTCTGGAGCGGAGAAGCCTGGGGGAAGCTGTGTGAAACGGACGGCTGCCGAGGTGGGTGTGCGTTCAAATAGAGATCGCGAACCATCGTTGTATAATTGCTTAGATGCTAGATCTTTGCGTGTGTGGAGAAGATTTGCTGGTCTGGCTGTATTGATGGTACAGTTGATTGCCGGTGAAGTTTAGAGCAGCACACGCCCCAGTGAATCCTTGCAGTGAAGGAGCCACTGAGGTAGCGTAGCTATGTAGCTGAATAGTGGTGAGGGTTGTCAAGACCAGTGCTTTTCTTCTTTGCTGTAGTAGTAACTACGCATGTGGCAAAAACTGAAGTAGTGTAGCTAGTAGCCATTGGCTGAATAGAGAATAAAGTGGCGAGGGTTATGCACTTTCAAGTGCTTTTAATTGTAGTTGTGCATAAAAACATGCATAATTGTAGTTGTGCATAAACATCTTTAGTCTGTAGCCATATGATTGTGGATGGCTAGCATAACGTCACCGACGCCATCTAGGAATGACATGAGCACAGACGGCTTCATCACTACTTTGAAGTGTTTATTCTTCCATGCAGCCACAGATGACGTGACTATCTGCATCTTGAGACATGTATAAAAAATAAAAATAAAGAATAAAATGTGCTATACCTTGTCTCCCTCACATTAACCCCACACACTTCCTTCTCCCGGCCTGTCACAATGTTGAGGAGCTGCGTTTGTAAGAGGCAGAACAGGACCTGCCCTCCCTGTTGGAACTCTCTCCTGTCAGATTCCAGTGTGGCTCGCAGGGGTGGTTTCGCCTGTGTCATAAAACATGGCTATAAGGAGTTTTACACTTGTATTAATACCTCTGAGATCATGACGAACACTGAAGTGGTTGTCCAATGATACACAGAGAGATCTGGACAACCCTAACGTAAACATGTGTCAAACAGCAGTATAAACATACAATTATTTGGAAGTGAAAGCAAGCCAGTAAGCATAGTTCTCACATTCAGCCACATGCATGTATATCTATGTATTATATATATGTATAATTATGTAATTGGTGAGCGGGAACAAGCCAACCCTTGTGAGCAACTGGCACGGTTTTTCCATTTATTTATTTATTTATTATTTAGGGCGAGCGATCGGGCACTGTCCATACCGTAATTTCCGATGGGATTTCTAATTCAACGTCTGCACCGCGCGCGTTTATCGTTCTCTGGCAGCAGCAGCCTCGACAGCTTCTTCATGGAGGATACAAGGGATATTGCGGCAACGGTAACATCTCTACTGTGTTGCAGACTCCAGCACACCAAACCGGGAGCGAGAGACTGCCGATGGACAGAGCGCGAAGGAGAGCGCGCCTCGCCTCCGAGACAGCGGAACAACGGGAGGCATGATTATCCCGACGCCAGGCTCAGGACCAGGCCCGGCATACGAGGGAAACACCTGAGCAAAGGGAGAGTTGTCTGCATCGCTACGAATTCGTCGGCAGGAGCGTCGTCGCAACTATGCAATTCTCTTTACCCTACAAACAAAATTGCTGATGTGAAGACTATTGTATGCATCTCTCCCATAATAGTCTGTTGGATCGCACCCGCCCGCCACCAATGGCTACCATTATATATACCTTCAGTGCTCCATTTTGGGTATCGCCCTGTGGATAAATGATCTCAGCTTTGATAGAGAGTGAGATAGTGGCCTTGTTTGGAGCAGAGCTATATATATATAGTATAAATAAGCCGATCCCTATCTTATTTACATTACTTACACGTGTTAGCCTGTGTTGCCTGTGGCATAGTGTGGTTGAAAGCGCACGAGGCGACATCTCATTAAAGTGCTTTGAGACGCCGTTTTAAAATTGTCTGCCACGCCCTACGTAAGCGTAGGCCAGTGGCACTAGGTCTTTGTCATCTATGGAAAGGAATTCACACGAGAAACTGCAGCTTATCAAACTTTTATACCATACAGCCTGATTGCTCCAGGAATGACGTAACCTCTCCAGCAACCCTGTCCGCTCCCACAACTTTACATTCCAGGCATCGGGCAGCTGGTGAAATTGATGTCCTGGACCCTCACCTGGTTCAGTTCAGGACCTCCACCCTCCTATCTCCCTCCACCAAAAAGGTGTTGCAGGAAAAGGCCCGGAATGCATGTAAGTACAAGTAGTCACTGCCCAGAATTCTAAAGGGTCACACATTCACACTCAGTGCCACAATTCATTAGATGTCTATAACCAGTCACATCGCTGTCAGTCGTCGTCGTGATGGCAGCCTGGGGTTGTTATTCTGATGGCTCCATACTCTACGTGGGGGGTTGGTATCTAACTGCAAAATAGCTTTGTGTGGAATAAGACTAGTTTTAAGTGAATGTCAAATATAGGGCTTTAGGTAGTTGACACCATCATCACTTGACACTTTCTACACCCTAACAGCCTCAAGCATCAAATCTAGTTACTATGAAGTCACTGATGGTGCCTTTGGTTATAGAGGCTCTGTGGTTACATTACAGGATAGGGCCTCCTTTCTCACACAAGGCTGCTATCCAGCTCTAAGACACAATGAGCATGCTCTGCAACAATCTTACCACAGTCACAAAGCTGACACACACTACACACATCCCCACACACACCCTAACAGCCTCAAACATCTCAATTACAGATAGGGCATCCCTTTTCACTAGAACTACAACCAGCTATACACACAGGGGCAAGCCAGAGCTATGTATCCCCAGCTTAAAAAGACACAAAAACAAGAAATAAACTTCCACACTCAGCTGCAAGGGATCAGCTGCAAGGGGGCCCCAACAGGAGAGTCTTCTCAAGCCTGCGTCTTTACATTAGTATATATTATACAAAAGGGAGGGAAAGAGAGGGACAGTGAAGACTAACATCTACTCTGTGCAAATGGGAGGGTTTACCAACTCTGTTCTTGCATATATACATAGGATATTGGGTTGGGACTTGACATTCTTTTGCAACCATCTTATCACAGGTCACAAAGCTGACACACACACAATCCCCACACAAACCCTAACAGCCTCAAACATCCAATTACAAGATAGGGCATCCCTTTTCACTAGAACTACAACCAGCTATATACACACAGGGGCAAGCCAGAGCTATGTATCCCAAGCTTAAAAAGACACAAAAAACAAGAAAAAAACTTACACACTCAAAAGACACAAAAACAAGAAATAAACTTACACACTCAGGAGATCAGCTGCAAGGGGGCTGCAACACAACGAGAGTCTTCTCAAGCCTGCGTGTTTACATAAGTATATATATATACAAAAGGGAGGGAAAGAGAGGGACAGTGAAGACTACATCTACTCTGTGCAAATTGGAGGGTTTACCAACTCTGTTCTTGCATATATACATACATAGGATATTGGGGTTTGGACTTGACATTCTTTTGCAACAATCTTATCACAGGTCACAAAGCTGACACACACACAATCCCCACACACACACACTCGAACAGCCTCAAACATCAATTACAAGATAGGGCATCCCTTTTCACTAGGACTACCAACCAGCTATACACACACAGGGGCAAGCTGATCTATGTATCTCCAGCTTAAAGACACAAAATAAACTTACACACAGATTCTTCCGTAGCGTTCAGTAGTGCAACGCACAAGATCAGGAGGGGGATCCTGGGATGGAGCAGAACAGCGCGGCGGCGCGCGGAAAGACGCCGACGCCGCGCGCGCCGCGTAGAGACTAGACGTACGTACGTCGTGTACGTGACGACGAAACAGCGCGCGCGCGACCCTTCGGGCGCGGACGGCCCCCCCCCGCCCCCCAGCCAGGCCCCGGCCCCCGCGATATATTTATATCGCGATCGAACGCGCGCGCGCAGAGCGGCGGTCGTGTGACGCCACACGCGCATGCGCAATTAATCCAGCTGGCCTGGCCTGTCGGGCCGGCCGGGGCGACTTGCAAAAAGGCTTCTCGTGAACGCGCCAACTAACTCGCTAGCGAGCTGGCTCCGTTGCAGATTGGTTGTGTTCTTCCGCTTGGAACGAATTTACTCTACGATCTTCACCTGTTGGAGAGCGTCTGTCAGAGATCGTCTGTTGCAGAGGCTTGCCTAGCTCTCGTCTCAGGGAAACCGGAGGGAAGTCGTTTTTGCACGTAGTATTTTGTTCCGTTTTTGCAGGTTTATAAAGATGCCGCCAAGGAAAAGAAGACAGCGGGCTGGTGCGATGAACTACCGGAAGCGCAAGGATGTTACGGTTGCGACGGGCGATGGTGGGTCAGGAGCTGTGGAAGGAAGGGTCGAAGGGAGTGAGGCCCACGGCAGGTTGGAGGGTCGAAGAGAGATCGGAGGAGGTGAGGGATGACGGCGGGTCCGGAACGCTGAAAGTTAGGGTGCAAGGGATCCGGGAGGGAGGAGGGGAGGGAGGAGGGGAGGGATGACAGCGGGTCAGGAACAGTGGAAGAGAGTGAGGAAGCAGAATGCGGACCGTCATCAAGTTCATTACGCAGCAGCGAGGAAGCACCAGCAGCCACCAAGCGAGGAAGGCTCTCTGAAATCACTGCCATGGGCGATGAACCACTTCAGGCTTGGCTTGATAGTCTTCCCCCGGAGGATTTGCAGCACGTGGCGCTGCTTCTGTATACAAGGCTTCCCACTATTTTTGGTCTCAAGAAAACCGACACAGCTGCTGCTGTTGGAGAGATTCTCCAGAAGAATGAACGCACCATCAGACGTTGGGTTGATGACTTTGCATCGAACTCAACAAGGCCACTACACTAGAAACAACACGCTAATGTCGAATGAGGAGATCAGCGAGAGGGCAAGAGTCTACGTACGGGGAAAATGCTGCTCCAAAAGGTAGACCCAACCTTACAGCCACAGCCTTCTGTCAGTGGGTGAACAATGACCTACTGCCATATTCCACCCTTGAGCCAGGCTACCCTCGCAGGGTGTCTGTGGAAACAGCACGAAAGTGGCTCCATGATCTTAGGTTCGATGTTCTTCACATGTCAAAGGGTGTGTTCATTGATGGCCACGAACGCCCTGATGTCGTGGAGTCAAGGGATAAATTTCTGAGAACAATGACGGAATGTGGGTTTCTCCGTCCCGACAACGCCCCCACCCAGGAAGCTGCCCGAGCACTGCAGCCGACGTCCCACATGTGTCAAAGGAAGAGGGAGAGAAACGCATTGTGTGGTTCCATGACGAGAGTGCCTACAACACAACTGAAGACACGCCAATGCTGTGGGGGGAGAAGGGAAAATTGCCCATCAAGCCAAAGGGAAAAGGCTCCTCCATCATGGTTTCGGAGTTCATCGAGGAGAAAGACGGCTATTTGGCACTCTCTGACGAGCAGTATGAATTTGAGGTGACAAACAGTGGTGATGTTGTTGAGAAGTGTGCCCTTGCACTCCTGGAGATTGGTGAGAACCGTGAGGGGTATTGGACTGGTCAACGTTTCGTGGAGCAGGTTGCCAAGGCTGTGAAAATAGCTGAGCTGAACACTTCTGAGCTAGTAACAGTTGCAGTATAACCAATTAGCTATGTTTCACTAGGTTTTTTGAGCAATACCTCATAACATGTGTGGTAACTTAGTTTTTTCACAACAATAACCAGCAATACACAAAACATTTTATAAAAATTCCTAAAGATTCACAACAAATATTTGTAGCAGTAACAATTGCTGTAGGAGATGAGAGGACTAACAGGAAAAACCATCGTAAAATTTAATCACTCGGATATTATACACATATTTTGGGATAATTAAATTAATATTTTTTGGAGAAGTAATTAATTGGTTTCTATGGAAACGAACTTGTTGGAATTGAAGTATATGCAATGAATGTTGCAAGTATGCAGTTATAAAACAAATCATCAAGCAGTAGCAGTGTTTTAAGGATTTGAATGCAGTAGGTTATTTGGACCTGCATGGCTGGGTGCACGCACCTACAAGTCATGACATAATTTAATATTAATATATTATATGGTCTTATCAGCAGTGGAAGTACAAAGAGTGTTATGGGTGGTGTAGGTATTACAAACAGTGGAAGCACAGAGTGGTTATAAAAAAGGTGGTGTAATAACGAAATATTTTGGTTTCCGGTTAAAAATAGAATAATGGAGCTATCAGTGTGTGTGTTGTCAGCTACTCTGGAGGGTCCAGGACGATAAAGGTGATGGTGGTCTTGTTGATGCCCTCGAAGGCACTCTTGATGACGGAGACGACCTCGCTGTGAGAGAGTCCGTGGAGACTGCGAGAGTTCACCTGGAGGATCTGCTGCCCGACCTTCAGACCCATTCCTGACACTGCCGCCGAGCCGTCCGGCTGTGATGGACAATCAACCCAGGGTCACACCACCATTGAAAAATCACAATGTAATTAAGGCATTTACTACATGGTTGGTCATGTGATCTATTAATTGGCTCCTATTATTCTTGCCAATAGAATCGTTTTTTTGCCGTTTTGGACATCGTATGTATATAAACATGTGCTTACAGTGGTAATGCCAGAATGAAAGTGGGCTGGTTAAAGCTTGTTGTGAGAAAAACAAGAGATCATCAAATTAGAATAAGACTGCAAAGTCAGTTCATTCACCGTGGACAAGAAACAGATCTTATACCAGGAGAACTACCAATAAACAAGGGATCCCAGGTGATTTAAGTTGGAAGTCTTGCTAAGCATCCTGGTACTATATAGTGTAAACACACACGGAGGGCATGTACCGTGATCTGTCTGATGGTGATGGCCACTTGTTTGGTGTTGGCCCCGCCGTCGATGGCCATGCCCAGTTTCTTGTTGACCTTGGTGACAGGGATGGTGAGTATCTCTCCGCGGAGGTTAGCGTAGCCACCAAATGACACCCCAGTCTCCTGGGATGAGGCGGGGGGAGGGGGAGGTGGAGGGGTGTGGAAGTGGCGAGATGGGAGATCAGACGAGGCCACTGCTATGAACTCATCCAGACCTGCAGTAACAACAGGGAGTTATTTCAAGTTAATGACAGGGCAGTCTTGTAAAATGAAACTGGACTTTTGAGCTTAAAAATGCGAAACAGACAACGGTAACCTTAACCCTTTGGACGCCATGGGTATCTCCTTAAATAAGCAGAAATTGATGTATGTATAACATACGTATATATTAACGCCTAGAATTATAGCCATATATTATGGACTTATGGAGGCTCTGGGCATATATATATATGCCCGTGGCTTGCTAAGGGTTAATCACAGCTTGAAATAGCACTACTGTGCAGTACACAATGCAAAGTTCCATATTTTACATGATGCGTTCACAAATGCTGGCTGTAAAAACACTAATATTGCACACAACCACCAGCAAAAGCTTGGCCTTTGTGCATAATCATTTAGAACTTGAACTGCCCATTGCATGTGTGTCTGTGTGTTCCTTGTATACATCACCTTTCTCCCTCATGCGCTGTTCAATCTCTGGCGGTCTCTTCTTCTTCCTCAGCTGGACGCGAGTCGGCTGTTGTTGAAACTCTGGGGCTGGCTCCGAGGCAGTCTCGGGGACCAGGTGAGGGAGTGGATCAGGTGGTGTGGGGATGACAGGTGGAGTCTCGTGGGGATGCCCCTGCTCTTGAGCTCCATCAGTATCATCATTGTCCTGGGAGAGAAGGGAAGAGCGAAAGTCAAGTGGGATACTACTAGAATGAATGGAAGCATTATTGGCGAGAGTGAGCACAAGTTCAAAATTCAGCGGTTTCACCAAAAATCACAGCATGTGACATTAAAAAATCAAACAACGTAGGGTTGCTTTCCTCTAATATTGCTCTTTTGTCTTTCAAACACATGCTTATTAGTTGTGCTGATGAATTTAATTTATACACACAGAATGTTAATTAACGGTTTTTAATGGTGCTGGATATATATAATAGGTATTAGGGGAAGGCACACTTGCTACCGCTCCAGTCCAGCATATGCACATATAATATATATACCTCCTGGGTGTTGAGTATGACAAAGGTGAGGGTCTTGTTTATGGGGCCCTCAAAGGCGGCCTTGATGGCCATGACAGTCTCCTTGTGTCTCAGTCCGTAGAGAGACGTGTTCTCCACCTGCAGGATCTGCTGGCCAATCCTCAGAGGTGGGGTTGCTGTCTTGGCTGCAGAGCCGTCCGGCTAATGTGGGGAGAGAAGATGACATAATTTTGAGGAGGATCTATCACTGCCCCAACAAATCGAAACTCTCCTAAACTTGTTTAGCATTAACGACAGAGCTCATGCCAGGCATATCTCCTTCGGAATGACTGTAAGGGATGCAGCCTGGTTGTTTCATCAATACACCACTCACCACCTCCTTCTTCCCTCCCAAATGAAAGTGAGCATACACTTATTGCTACGAATTCTACAATAACCTATTCTCCATGCTTACAATCTCAGCGTTGGTCTTCGCACTCACCACACTACATGGAACATACTGTACATGAATCCTGAATCTCACCGGTATCTCTCTGATGATGATAGCCTCTTGCTTGGTGTTGGCTCCACCATCGATGGCAATCCCCAGCTTCTTGCACACTTTGCTCACAGTCACGGTCAGGATCTCCCCGTGCAGATCAGTGTAGCCACCGTGAGACAACCCCTCGCTGCTGCCACTCCCCACTCCACCACCGACTGCTGTCGGCTCTAGAGAGATGGAGAGCCAACTAGACTGGTTCATGGCTCGGGACAAAATCAATAGTCTTGGAACGTGGACAGAGAGAGATCGCCGCGGTAGACTCTCAGAGCTTGACACATATTACATAGTCTAGTATTGTACACACTGTGTCTAATGTCAATGGTGACACAGGCCGTGTTATTACCAACACACAAAGAGCACACGTGTCAATTATGTTATGTAACCAGATTACATAATTACATACAGCATTTTGTAGCGACTACTTTAAATGCTCACTAACAGTGGGAAATCCACTATAGCGATGAGCAAACACATTTCATTAAACTAAATTCATTACCACACCCACTACATGCTCCGAGTGGCATAATATTATACAGTAGTACCAGGTTTCTGGAGCCAAAAGAGATAGTGTGCTTAGCATTAAACCACACCCCAGTGGTGATACCTAGTATAAAGAAGAAAACCCTCGTCTTTTTAAGGACACCCCTGGCCCTGAAATGAGAAATCTTTCTCTCTACTTAGTGACCAACCACACTTCTTCCCCAGAAGTAAGTATTTCAATGGGCATGCCACATGTATACCTTGGACCACTGTTTCTGTGTCATTGTGGGTGGGGTATATAAGGAGAGAGGCTCCCACTGTACTCAACCCAGAGAACCAGGCGTATTTTTGGAGGGCTCCCATCTTGCTTGTGGGCGCTGTTTTGTGTGTTGTTGTTGGCCTTCTTTCATTCTAGATCGCGGGGAACCCTTCGCTGGAGTTCTTTCTCTTTCTCCAAGGCTTTTTGCCTCTCTCCTCTCCAAACCCAGGGTTTTTTGCTTTGTGTGAGGAATCCCACCCCTGGGGTCCCCCCGGGTGGCTTTCTGGCCTTTCCCGGCCTTCTTACCTGCCCCTCCGGTTTTTTATTTCATCCTACCAAATACTATGAGGTAACAGGACAAGGGAAGTCAACAGACAAAGGAAACAAAAGGGGGAACAAAGACAGGGACAGGCAGGGTGGACAAGGACAGGGCAGGCAAGGAGCAGGGCAAGACGGGGAGGAGGAAGGAGAGAAAAGAGAAGAGACAGCAGGAAACAAAGACAAAAAAGGGGTTTTATCAAAATAAAAAGGGTAAAAATTCACTGGTTGGCACTTTCCGGGATATGCAATGATCTGTGAAGTAAATACAGTATTTGTGCACATCTACCACGGACGTACAGAATTTGTGCGGCAATACGCAAAAACCTCCCACTACACAGAACGACAGGAAGGAGAGAGGAGCACCTTCACAGCAATCTGTTGGAGTCCTGGAGGCCTGTGTTTCCGCCCCGGCCCTTCTTCCACTCCTTCCTGCCCACCTTATCCTAAATCTATAAAAACAAGCCACGGGCATATATATTATATATGCCCAGAGCCTTCTTAGTCATAATATATGGCTATAATTTTAGCGTTTATATATACGTATGTTATACATACATCAATTTTTGTTATTTAAGGAGATTCCCATGGCGTCCAAAGGGTTAAGGTTACCGTTGTATGTTTCGCATTTTTAGCTCAAAAGTCGTTTCATTTTAAAGACTGCCCTGTAATTAACTTGAAATAATTCCCTTTGTTTATGCAGGTTTCTGATGGAGTTCATTAGCAGTGGCCTTCGTCTATATACATCTGGGCCACTTCCACACCCCGTCCACCTCCACCTCTCCCCGCTCATCACAGGAGGATGGGGTGTCATTTGGTGGTAGATAACATGAGGAGAGATAATCACCATCCCTGTCACCAAGGTTCAACAAGAAAACTGGGCATTGGCCATCGACGGCGGGCCAACACCAAACAAGTGGCGCATCACCAGCATGACAGATCACGGTACGTCCTCTCTGTGTGTTTCCACACTATATATGTACCAGATGCTTAGCAAGACTCCACTTAACTCACCTGGGATCCCTTGTTGGATATTGGTAGTTCTCCTGTATAAGATCTGTGTTTCTGTCCACGGTGGATCGAACTGTACTTTGACTCAGTCGTTATGTCTACATATTGGTAGATCTCTTGTGTTCTCACACAAAGCCTGTTAACGAGCTCATTCTGCATTCTCACCACTCATGTAATTTGCACAGTGTAGTCATTACATACGATGTCCTAAATAACTTGGGCAAAACTTGATTCTATTGGCAAGATAAAATAGAGCAATTAATAGATCACATGACCAACCATGTAGTATATCCCGTTATTACATTGTGATTTTTCAATGGTGGTGTGACCCGCGTGGATTGTCCATGCACATCCTGACGGCTCGGCGGCAGTGTCAGGAATGGGTCTGAGGTCCGGGCAGCAGATCCTCCAGGTGAACTCTCCGCAGTCTCCACGGACTCTCTCACAGCGAGGTCGGCTCCGTCATCAAGACTCAAGTGCCTCGAGGGGCCCCATCAACCATAGCACACCATCACCTTTATCGTCCTGGGAACCCCTCCAGAGTAGTCTGACAACACCAACCACACTGATAGCTTCCCATTATTCATATTTTTTAACCGTAAACCAAAATATTTCTTGTTTTATACTGCGTAACTGCAGCCTGGATGCGAACTATTATCTCGCATACCAACCGCACTCCTGTTCATAGTGGGCCTTGCTTCCAACTGCTATTGTAAATATCCTACACCACCATACACTCTTTGTACTTACTGCTGTAAGACCATATAATCTATATTAATATTTTATCCTGACCTGTAGGTGCGTGACCCAGCCATGTCAGGTCCAAATTAAGACCTACTGACATTCAATTCCTTAAAACACTTGCTACGTGCTTGATGATTTGTTTTATAACTTTTCCTG